TTTTTAAAGAATAATTACAACTAACACAAAAAAGACCAGCTTTTGGCAGAGGAACTTTAATGATGAAGTTTTTTCAAATATAAGAATCTACTTAATTTTCGTTAATTAATTCGTCTGCGGGGCTTTTGTGAAGACACAAAATATAAAACTGAACGCTGTTTCGTACCCTTCTGTTTCTGTGAATAACGACTGAAAAAAAAGAAACAGTAGGAAAAAAAAACAACGTCAACACCTGCAGGACATAGTAATAGCGTTACAGAAACAGTTTACAGTGAACCAGTTTCGGTTTTTGAATCCGCTGCATCTTTGTCAAATTCGGTTGCTGCTGTCAGGTCCATAGTACTCTGAGTAGACAAAGATTTCTTGGAAGCTTTGCGGTGGTCTCTTAACGATGCATAATACCCGTCACGTACAGAAGTGAACATTATTGAAACTAGTTGTGACCAAGCCGCTACAGTGTCAGCTGGCTGAACGACAGCAGTAAATTAAAAAACCTGTTCTTTTTTTACCTTTTTTTTAATATAACAAATAATCGACTTTCAAAGTTGTAACAGCAGATAAATTTTAGAAGAAAATTAGACGAAAAATTATAAATAATAGAAGCAATAGTTACTTGATGAGTTGCCAGATCCAATATGATACATTCAGTAATAATTGCATCCGCTAAACTAACCCAAAAGTCTGGTTTGAAACCATAGTTTCGCAAAGCGACATGTTTTTTGCCATAATTTCTTGACAGCTCTTCTATCTTCTCTGTACTTTCTATCTGAATTTAACAGATAAACATCGAAAAATTTTTCAAAGCAGCATTTAGTGACAAAGAGGTTAATATGCATGATTAAATAAACTAAACACGAAAGTATTGAAGTTTATGAATTCAGGTAAAACTAAAATTTTGGTAAACTTTTGAAGTTAGTTTGATTGCTTTTATAAACAAAATAAAGGCATAAGAAAGAATGATCTTTATCACTAATAGTTTTTTGTATGCGAAACATTTTCTATGTGAAACTAAGAGACGAAGAATTTGGGTATCTAGTGTCATCAGTCAGCTTTACTGTTGCTAACCGTAGTTAAAATCAACTTTAAATAAACGTTGTGCAAAAGCTACAATTGTTGTTAAATAAAAAAGAAGTTGGAACTAAAATTAAAGTAAAGTTTACATTTTGGACAATATCTTCCAGGTATTTTCGTAATAAACCTGTAAACCAAATCCATTTATCCTTTCCCAGTTTTGCACCAAACCTAAATTGTTGAACAATGATTAGAAAACGTTAAAGTTGTTTGTTTGTTGGTTAAAAAATCAACTGACAAATTTTGCAGTAATGTAACAGTGCCTCTTCAGAATTACTTCAGATGAAATTCAACCACAAATAGAAACAAATAAATTTCCATTTGTCTTCTTTTTTTAAATGCATTTTGGTTCGAAAACCATTATACAATTTATTTAAGCAACTATTCAAAAATGTGGTTTCAGTTGGCTAAATAAATTCTAATTTTTTTTTTTTTTTGCTTGAAAATATGTGTATAATCAACATTTGGTAAAAGGCTGTGCAGGAAAAAGAAAAAGTTAAAACTGTTGGAAACTGAAAATATTGGTGAAGTTAAGCAACAGAAATTTATTTTCAGCTTTTTTTTTTTTTCAAAAAAAGAGTATTTGGTTTTTTTCTTTCACAATTTAACAAAACCTTATGGATAAAGAGAAGTTGATAAATCAAAAAGAATCTGTTTTCTGCTTCAATACTGAAAGGTATTTGAAAGAAAAAAAAGCCAAAGCCGAATTGCTGTTGATTTATAGACATTTTTTTTTTTTT